TTTTTTTTTTCGATCACAATGTCAATCTCTTGAGTTTACTTCTTTTAATAGTCACAATAATTGAGGTGAACTGCGGGTTAGTCAAAGAGCACAGCTTTGCTTTAAGTACTTAAGTCAAAGTATACATGTGCTTTTGTGAATTCAGGCAAAGTTTACAAAAGATACTTAGTGGGCCTTTTAAAACTATTATTTCTAGGAGAACAAGTTTGTCCCGGAGAGAGTGAAGCTGGAGTGCTCCTTGGAGTCAAGGATTCTGAAGCTTCATCTGACATATTTTGGGGATGTTGTAAGGAGGGACCAGTCCTTGTAGAGGGACGTCATGTTTGGGAAAGTGGAGGGTCGGCGCAGAAGAGAAAGACCCTTGATGAGATAATCGATTCTGTGAGTGGAGTGGTGGGAATGAGTGTGTTTGAGACGGTGAAGTTGGCACAGGATAGAACGGAGTTTAGGGCTCTTGTACATAGATAGGGTCACTATGAGTCGCAAGCGACTTGATGGCACATAACAACAAGTATTCCTGTGGAAGCAGGAGTAGCATCCACTTCCTAAACCACATGTCTCCAGAAACTTTATGAACTTATGAACTTTGATAAATGTCCATAGTTATAGAAAGGCTTCAGGCCTTTTGTTCATAGGGTCCCTATGAGTTGTGCTTGACTTGAAGGCAATCAACAACAATAGTCCTTAGGAACTAAAACCTAAATAACAACGTACAAATTTTCATCTCCTAGACTCTTTTAATGGAGCATGAAAGAATTTTGATATTTGACATCATTACCACAGTGATGCTGAAGTTATGAAGCTCATTTTTACATCATTAAGTTGTACAGAGCATAGAGACACTATAGGGTAAATTCCTTGTGTTTACAGGAAAATTGTTAAAAGAGTTTTTATGAGGGGAGCTCTGGTGGCCTAGTGGCAAGGAGCTGCAACTACAATCCCAGAGGCACACGGTTCGAATCCACCAGATGCTCTGCCAGGAAAAGGAGGGACAACCTCCTCCTGTACCAGTCAGATCTGATTTGACGGTACACTCACTCACTCACACACACACACAAAGTTTTTATGAAAAGAGTTTATAAACAAACAATGGATATGTTGAATGACAGTGATGCTGACCCCACAGCACACTTTTGTATATGGTTTTTTTTCCCCTATATTTTATTAATTTTCATAAACATTTACAGCGATTTTGGGTTTCCATTCATTCATTGTTGCACTATTCTCTCTACCCTCCTCCCAGTTTGTTCTTGTCCAAATGCCACAGTGCTTGTCAAAGCCAGTTCTGATTAATCTTCTTTGTCAGTGTGTCCTTTGCCATTCCCTATCACTCCTCCCTGAGAGAGACTTCACCCTGAGTTGTATATGGTTTTGTTAGGGGATTTTGTGTGTAGTTAGAATGGGAGCATGTGGAGTTTCCATAAGTTGGAATTGACTTGACTGGGTATTTACAAGGCAACAGTTATAGAAGATTTGATATATGAGACTATGTGATCACAACGGGTTTATGTGAATAAAGTAATGTAGGTACTCTAAGGTCTGGTGGCTGAGTGGTTAAGGAGATGCACTGCCACCCCAAAGGAAGGGGGTTTGAATCCCCCACAGAAAAATGGGCTATATTTCACAGCTTCTGAAAACCTGCAAGAGAGTCAGCTCTGAGTCCTTCCAACTCAATGGCATGAGTTTTAATTTCTTTATATTTTTTTCCATTTTTAGAATTGTGATTTTAATGAAAGTGTATAGAAAAAAAGTGTATGAAAGTGTATAGAGTTTCATTCATTCACGGTTGCACATTTTCCTCCCTGCCCGATTTTTAGTTTCTTTAATGAAAGTACTACTCCTATACAAGGGAGCTCTGGTGGCTTAATGGGGGAAAGCTGCAAAGTAATCCCAAACGCACATGGTTCAAATCCATCTGAGGGAGAATGATGGGCAATCACCTCCAAGTGGGCTATCTTTTTAAGTCAAGTGATCTAAGAGGAGATTGTCCATTTTTCTCCCGAGCAGTTGGTGAATTCAAACTGCTGGAGATGCAGCCATCCGGTTATTGCACCATCCTACGGACCAGACCATACTTATACTTGGACCAGGAGGAAGTCGTCAGAACAGAGCAAGGGAACACTGCATGGTTCAAAATGGGGAAGGGCGTA